GAGATGGAAGTTACCACCGGTAATACTGTCTGTATGTGTGATGGAAGTTACCACTGGTAATACTGTCTGTAAGTGTAATAGAAGGAGATGGAAGTTACCACCGGTAATACTGTCTGTATGTGTGATAGAAGTTACCACTGGTAATATTGTCTGTAAGTGTAATAGAAGGAAATGGAAGTTACCACCGGTAATACTGTCTGTAAGTGTAATAGAAGGAGATGGAAGTTACCACCGGTAATATTGTCTATAAGTGTAATAGAAGGAGATGGAAGTTACCACCGGTAATACTGTCTGTAAGTGTAATAGAAAGAGATGGAAGTTACCACTGGTAATGCTGTCTGTAAGTGTGATAGAAGTTACCACCGGTAATACTGTCTGTAAGTGTAATAGAAGGAGATGGAAGTTACCACCGGTAATACTGTATGTAAGTGTGATAGAAGGAGATGGAAGTTACCACCGGTAATACTGTCTGTAAGTGTAATAGAAGGAGATGGAAGTTACCACTGGTAATACTGTCTGTAAGTGTGATAGAAGTTACCACTGGTAATACTGTTTGTAAGTGTGATAGAAGGAGATGGAAGTTACCACTGGTAATGCTGTCTGTAAGTGTGATAGAAGTTACCACCGGTAATACTGTCTGTATGTGTGATAGAAGGAGATGGGAGTTAACACTGGTAATACGTTCCATGATCAAGCTGCCTGTGATATCCCTAAGCCTAAGAAGAGTTTTTTGGTAGTGTGTGTGTGTCGAAAGACATCTAAGTCCTAAAAAGTTGAAAGCAGGGCTCTGGGAAGACTTCAAATCATAAAATATTAAGGAAAAGGAGGCCACTGACCCACTTTGATCACAGTATATAACCACGTGCGATGCTATTACCAGACATTATCTTCATGTCATACTAATTCAGGTAAACCAAATTTATTGTCCAAGCATGTTATACGGTTTACCTTCTATGTTCATTTTATGGATATTGTCATGAACTGTTATTACTTATCGTTGTTTTAAATAGGTTTGCCATCTATGAATATTACTTTTTCCATCAATGCTACTCAAAAGGATAATCGTTCTGTAACACGAGGGTAGTTTAGGAATTTTTTCTATCATTATGTGAAACTCAAGATTAAAAGCAGGCTTTAGTGGTAAATTTAATACAACTTGTATGTTGTTTTTTTTTACAGGCAATTGGAAGAGAAGCAGCTCTTGTTATGGACTGTGTTGTTACCAAAGCAGCTATATCAGATGATCGTTTCGTGGTGTTAAAGTTCGAACCAGTACGTAACTATCCTGTGTTTTATGTGTCTAACATCTAAGTATATCTTTACAAACATGCTGGCTAAATATTTAAATAAATTTATACTAATCACACAGACACTATACGTTACTGGATACCTCTGTACGTATGCTGGCATTTCGGGTGAAATGTGACTTGGAGACTAAAGTAACCTAATTTCTGTGAAGGTAAAAGGTCGAGAGACTCAACAACAAAGAACTGTGCCTAGTGTCGTGATCAATCAGTTCACAATGGAGATGAGGCAGTGTGAATTGAAGATATTACAAAATACTGACAAGCACTACCTGTTATTGGTTTTAGGTCTCCATTACTTAAAATTAATTTATGGATGATTTCTATATTCTGTTTAAAATCAACTGTTGATTGCAATCTTTGAAGAATCATATCTTGTAATATCTGAGATTTTCATAAACAAAACGTTTCTTTAAATGTGCCAATGTTGTGAAGTTTCAGTGAGCTACATACCTTTCAATAGTTGGAAATATCAAAGGACCGTCACCTACATGGTAATTTTCTATAATTCCAATAAGTGGAGTCAATATATTACTTATAACAGCCAAGTTAGTTTAGTCTATTATAAATCAACTTATCAGAAACAAACTAAACTGTTTTATTTAGTTAACTTTCTTGAGTAATTATTTATGTGAGTGGACTAGTAGTTAGTGTGAATTTGAGGATCCGCGATTTGCAGTTCATTTCCACAGTCACGTGGAGCTGTAGGTACATTATAATATAAAAGTGTTGGTTAAATCCCACTATTTGATTACAGTAGTTTAAGAATTGGCAGTGGGTGTTATTGATTGTCTGTTTTTTTCTTACTGGTGTGAATATCTAACAAAGATCTCTGATCTACAAAGTATAGCACTTTCTGTGCCGATCCTTGGCTCTGATCTACAAAGTATAGCACCTTCTGTGCCGATCCTTGGCTCTGATCTACAAAGTATAGCACTTTCTGTGCCAATCTTTGGCTCTGATCTACAAAGTATAGCACTTTCTGTGCCAATCCTTGGCTCTGAACTACAAAGTATAGCACTTTCTGTGCCGATCTTTGGCTCTGATCTACAAAGTATAGCACTTTCTGTGGCATTTAACATTACTTTTATCAAGCGTCTCTTCAATGCCAGAATGATAATCTAATCTGCATTTGTTTAGACCTAAAAAAAAGATGGCATGCAACTTGGTTTTTAGCCAGTGAGTTGTAACCTTTAGGTTGGAATACATACTGCTCACTCTGTTGGCTGTACAGTGAAAAAATGCATTTGATTTTTTTAAATATGCCTTATCATTCGTTTCACCACAGATACATTGGAACCTCTAATGTTGAAATTTACTATACTTTTACAGTATGACCACCATCACTTACTAAAAATGAATTGTACACAATGCTGTACAGAGTCAAGTGACACTGACGGTGCACGAAAATAAGTCATACACAACATATTACTACAAGCAGTGAAGTGGCATTGAGAGTACTTTTAAATTGCAATTCTTCATATTTGGCTCATTTATAAAACCTTAAATTATTTTCTATAGTGAAAGTACAGACTTATTTTGCTTTCCTATCTACTTTCTCTGTGCCCAAGATATCTAGTCCCTCCTACCTATGTTCTGCTATCAATGGTTATCACATTCATTAATTAATAATCAATAGCTAACGTTTTTATTTGCACTCTTTAATAAAATATTTTCAAAATTTATGTGAGCAATAACAGACACAAGTCCTAAACAAAAATTAAAATGCTTTAAGCTGTGACAGTGTTCTCACAGCTGAAATTACTCCTTTAGGGAAACACTTGTGAAATCATGGCCAGATTTGGTTATTAAATAAACTAGTTTCAAACAGCAAATCACATCTTTCCAAGATAGAACGTGACAAAGTTACTCGACTCAGTATTGACCTAGTAGTCTTGCAGGAAGAACATCTCCGTGAAAGTCAAGTGCACTGGTTGTTTTATCCAGGATTTGTTTTTCCACAATACAGCATTATTCGTCACCCGTTTAGTAATTGCTAATACTCGAAATTACTTACTTTTAAATAGGTCGTCTTACTCCGACAACTTTTCCACTTCTTCTACACTCATTTTCATGCTTTGTGACAGAACTTATCATATCCACTCCACTAGTAAAGATAGCCCATATGTAGCTTGTTCAAAGAAACTTACATAAAGTTTCTTTTGCAGTATTTTCACGTTCCAGATGTGTTTTTAAATTTATTATGTTACAAAAGAACACAGCTTGGTAGCATGTTCCACTCTTTCTTTCTTATCATTTCAGAAATGTTTTCAAGGTGAAGCTTAAGTTCTAGACATTAAGGTAAGTCCAATTTTTTGATATAAACACTGTGTTGAGACAACCTCAACACTGAGGTAAGTCTGATATTTTGATATAAAACACTGGCAAGGCAACCTGAATATGATGCAAGTCCAATATATAAAACAACTAGCTTTAGGATTTTGTAATCACTTAAATCTTTTATTTTTCTTTATCCATTTTTTGATTAAAAAACATTTGTACTTCTCAATTACAGAAGAAAAATCAGAAAATGATGGCTTTCGTAAAAGAAACTGATTGTGTCGATTTGAAATTGAATTATCCAGAAATTGAACAAAATGTTTAATGAATGTAACTGAAATGTTTTAAAAATCTTTCACGTTTGATGGATATTAAATACATAAATTCCTTTAGATATATAATATTCTTGTATCTGTGTATCTTTTAACACCTAAATAACTACCACGGAACCTTGAAAACGACATCAGTTTATCTAACAATTAACAAGAACACTAGGAAAGTGAGAACAAAAACCTGGTGGTGAAAATTGCTACTACCTAATAATATATTAATTCACATTCTGGTGTTAAGCAACAGTTTCAAGACAACTAGTGAAATTTATAGAGCACAAGTACAATGACCTTGCAAACACAGGTGTGTATAATTCTTCGTATGTTTCTTCCCTCACAACTTGACGATGATCAAAGTTCGTACAGATCAGTCACTTGAACTCCAAAAAATGAGGTTCGTGGATCTAAAATATAAGAAGGGCTCGCAGATTCAGGTAGCCCCTCTATCATACTTTTGTGCCCTTACGCTATAAAGTGGGCTCCTTTTAACAATAAATAATATTATATTTAAGTTTGATTATCATCGATATGAATGATGTATGCTGAAATTATGTGGCAGCCATCCAGGTGTCAGAACACACATGCACCCTTTCAAAAATCTGTTACTGACAGTTGTAGAGATTTGATGCAGATTAAATGTGACACAAGAGAAGGCATGAAGTTGAAACGTGCTAATGGTAGAACTATTGCAAGGAACTAAAAGTTACAGTGTGTGGAATATAGCAGAGTTAAACTTTACGTAAATGACTCAATTAGACCAGATGTGGCTGTATTTAGTAACAAAAAGTAGGGAAGACAAACAACATAAATTTTACTGGCGTGAGGGTTAAATAATACACAATTATTAACAGGGCAGAATAATTAACAACAAAACAAACTAACTGCACAAGCCTCTTGATCTACTGTCAACTACATATAAACCAAAGAAATAGTCAGGCCTCTTATAATGGTGATGTGTATGTAATGTTTAAGGGGTTTCTAACTCATCATGTAATATATTATTCACTCAACTAAATGGATAGCAGAAATCAAAGCAAACTACATGGTAAACCATTACTTGGATATACGTGTCTAACATGGAAACAGTAGTAACAAGTTCATAGTAGAAGCCACTGTATCAAATCCAGCACTACACTACTGTCCACCTCCGTACTGTAGTAAGGTAATCAGCACTACACTACTGTCCACCTCCGTACTGTAGTAAGGTAATCAGCACTACACTACTGTCCACCTCCGTACTGTAGTAAGATAACCAGCACTACACTACTGTCAGGATACTGACCACCTCTGTACTGTAGTAAGGTAACCAGCACTACACTACTGTCAGGATACTGACTGCCTTTGTACTGTAGTAAGATAACCAGCACTACACTACTGTCAGGAAACTGACTGCCTTTGTACTGTAGTAAGGTAATCAGCACTACACTACTGTCCACCTCCGTACTGTAGTAAGGTAATCAGCACTACACTACTGTCAGGATACTGACCACCTCTGTACTGTAGTAAGGTAATCAGCACTACACTACTGTCAGGATACTGACCACCTCTGTACTGTAGTAAGGTAATCAGCACTACACTACTGTC